GGGGGCTAGCCAGGGCGTCACTGTCCCCTCAATTTTGCATGGAAAGAGTGGAAGTCCATGAAGAGTCAAAGATTTACACACAGACACTGCAGGACAGTCATGAACTCTGCATTAGAGCTACTTAACAGATACTGTTTTCTTCCCTGATCCATCACTGCCTCACTAAGATTACATGTATGTCACATGTGGGCAGAAGGCTCTCATAACCCTAGTTTGTAGCAGCCACCACTGCGTCCTGGGAGTGGGTAGCCAGGAGCTGAGGTGGGGTGCTGCCCCCGGCGAGGGCAGCAGGGAGCCCAGGGGAAGCAGTGCTAAACGTTCTCACTGCCCTTGATCTTCCCTGTTACTACCCTGGGCTGTGGTAGGACTCTGTGGGCAGATCATGTGGTCTCCAGGGCTCTCCCAGTGGGTCCAGCTGAGAAGCCAGGATCCCAGAACACAGATCCCCAGCGGTCCCATAAACTGTTGGCCGCACAGAGGGGGGCAGGTAAACCCAGTGATGGGACAGGCAGAGCCCGCACAGAAGCAGCAGAACATGTCAGTGGCTCCTCTGGGCTGAAGTTAACCTTCGAGTAACAGGCATTGAATGGAAAACACCACTCTTGTATCAGGACACCCAGCACACGTAGGTCACTTTCAATGCACAGCGTTCTCAAAAACACAAACTTAAAAGGCTTCGAGGCAAAAGAACGGAACGCGAAAATTACATCTTTTAATATTTCCATAATATTTGAAATGGGTTTGTAGATTGAAAATAAGTAGTCAAAGTATTTTTATATTTGTATATTTATCTGTAGGTTTTCTTATTATTCATGTTACTTTTTTGTTAACATAGCAGGAAGCTGAACACATGAATGCTTGCATCCAGCTTTCTCCCCCTTCCAATGTTTACCTGATTTACCCCAAAAATCTATGAATGTGATCAGTTTCACGGGGGAATTAAAGTATAGTAATTATCAACCACTAAAATTTTGGTGGATTTTTATTAACAATAGATAAGCTAATCTGGGGAAAATTCTATCTTTTCAATACCGTTTCCATCCATTAATATGTATGGAACGTTTTATGAGTGAGAAATTTTCTAAAAATCATGCTTTAGTAAGTTTTTAATAGTATTATGACAATACTGTGCACAAACACACAGACCAGTGAAACAAAACAGAAATCCCAAAGTCAAACCCTAATCTGTATCTTGTCATCTTTACATACTCAATGCTAATATGTATCTGACCTGTCCCTTACACTTTGTATTTCGTTTCACGGCTTGGTTGCATTATCTGTCCATCGGTACTGCTCTCCCACTGCTGCAGTGCTAACCACACAATGCTGCTATCTTCTGGCCACTGTCACCCCGATATGCTTCTATCAGCCTTTGGCGTGAAAACAGGAAAAGGAAAACGGATACATCTCTTCCAGGATATTTAAAGATGTATTTAGATTTCCTCAAGAAACAGTGAAAAACTTTAAAAACAAGATATGAAACCCTTATTCTGAATCCCCATTCAACTGACGGACTCAGATTCCAGTTTCACTGGCTGAATGCAAACACAGTAGGATAATCTCGACTCTGTTAATAGGATGAAGGAAAACCACATGTTCGACTCATCAACTGATGCAGAAAAAGCACCTGACAGAATCCAAACCTGTCATGGTATAAACATACAACACATTAGGACGAGGGGGAACTTCCTCAACCCGATAAATGGCATTTACGGAAAACACGCAGCTAATATCATAGTCAGTGGATGTAGCCTGAGAAGCTTCCCCCTCTCGCCACTCCTAGTCAACACTGTGTGGGAGGTTCCAGCCGGAACAGTCTGGCAAGAAAAATAAAATAAAAGACATCCAAAATGGAAAGGAAAAGGTAACACTATCTCTACTCATAGATTACAGGAGCTTATATACAGAATATTCCATGACACAAGATCGAAACACAAAATCCAGGAATGCCTGGCTGGCTCAGTTGGCAGAATCCAACTGTTGTGAGTTTGAGACCCATGCTGGGTATAGCAAATACATTAAAAATAAAGTCTTAAAAAAATAATAACAATGAAATAAAAAATAAAAAAACCTATAAAATCAGTTGTATTTCTATAAACTAGCAGTTAATCCCTAAAACAAGTCAATTTATAACAGCATCAAAAAGAATAAAATACTTAGGAATAAATTTAACCAAAGAGATGTCAGACTTGATAGTGAAAAAAACAAACACTACTGAAAGAAACTAAAGTAGATCTAAATAAATGGAAATATTTCTGTGTTCACGTGTTAGGGTCGGTAATCAAAGGAGTAAGACTGATACAAAGCGAAGGTCAAGCAAAGCTTTATTTTGCGCCAAGCATCGAGAATCGAACTGACTGGTCAGGGCCGTCTCTTGCAAAGAGGCGACCCCTCCCAGCCTCACAGACTAATTTTTATAGAGGTAGTTTAGCCGGGCTATACACAGGTGGCCAATGAGATTGCAATACACAGAGAAAACTGCACAGTCATGCTAGGTCGGCCACACACATAAAAAAAACCTGCTAGGTAACACACGGGTGGCCAATTGAATTTCAATTTACCCTAGTAGATATATGCGCGCCCAACTGATTGGATGTCTTCACCTGGCCTGACCCGCCCTTGTATCTAGGCTTTGCAAGTAAGTTCCTCTGGAAGGGGGCAGGGTCAATCTAAGTTTACTGCATGGGGTCAATCTAAGTTCACTATATAATCACAAAATGACTCCCTCTGGCCAACCAGGCCCTTACACATGGATTCAAGGACTTAATATCATCAAGATGGAAATACTTCCTAAAGCAATCTACAGATTTAATACAACCCTGATTCAGTACAATCCCTATCCAAATTTCAATGGCACTTTCTTTTTTTACAGAAATGGAAAAGCTGATCCTAAACTTCAAAAGGAATCTCTAGGGACTGCAAATAACCAAAAACAATCTCAAAGTTGGAGAACTCACATGCCTTGATTTCAAAATTTACTATAAAGCAAAGGAATTGAGATGCTGTGATACTGGCAAAAGGCTAGACATACAGACAACGGAACAGACAGGAGAGTCCTGAAAGCTAGAGAGCTCGTCTCTCCACGGCCAAAAGACCAGGACCACCCAATGCAAGACAACAGTTCCTTCAGCAGATGGTCCAGGGACAACTGGAAACCACATGCAGAAGAACGAAACTGGACACACACGAAAATTAAGTCCAAATGGATCAGATGGGGCGCCTGTGGGGCTCAGTCGGTTACACGTCTGCCTTTGGCTCAGGTCATGATCCCAGGGTCCCGGGATCAAGCCCTGCATTGGGCTCCCTGCTTGTGGGAAGTCGGCTTCTGCCTCTCCCTCTGGGCTCTCTTTCTCTTTCTCTCAAATAAATAAAATCTATAAAAACAAAAACAAACAAAAAACCAAGATGGATCAGGGCCCTACAACAAAGCTAGAACTACAAAACTCTCAGAAGAAAACATAGGGGTGTATCTTCAGGACTCTGGATTTGACAACAAATTTCTCAGCTAGGAGACCAGAAGCACAAGCAACCAAAAACCAGACAAACTGGCCTTCATCAAAATTAAAGACTTCAGCGCATCAAAGGACACGAATCAAAGAAATGACAAAACAACCTACAGAACTGTGGGGAAAATAATTGCAAGTCATGTATCTGGTAAGGGTCTAGGATCCAGAACATAGAAAGAACTCTTATAACTTCACAATAAAAAGACTAAAAACCCAATTTGAAAATGGGCGGAAGACTTCTGAAGTCTCTTCCCCAAAGATACACAAATAGCCAACAAAAACAAGAAAAGAGCCTCATCATCGATATTCCGGGAAAGGCAAATCAAAACCACGTGCTTCACACCTACCGGTGTGGCAGAATCGAAAACAACAACCGAGTGTCGGTGAGGCTGTGGGGAAACTGGCACCCTGCCCCGCTGCTGGCGGGGCAGGGGGTGTAAAATGGTGCAGCCACTGGGGAAAACCGTCTGGCAGGTGCTCAGTAAGTTAAGCATAGAATCACCATTTCATCCAGCAACTGTACGGCCAAGAATACGCACAAAGGACTGAAAACAGGGATTCAAACAAGTGCTTGTACAAAAGCTCACGGCCGCCCTCCCAGCAGCCAGAGAGCAGCAGCGATCCACCCCCATCAGCACAGGACGTCCACACAATGGACTGTGACTCGGCGCTACGAGGGAACAAAGGACTGGTGCATGCTGCAAATCGAAAGGAACTACAGAAACAGGGAAGTGGAGGAAGCCAGACACAAAAGGTCATAGATGGTATGATCCCGTTTATCAGAAATCTCCAGAATGGATGAATCCATAGAGACAGAAAGCGGACTGGTGGTTGCTAGGGACTATGGGCAGGGAGAAACGGGGAGTGACTGCTTAGTGGCAGGGGCCTACTGGGAGAAAACTAGACAGCTGATGGTCACGTACACGTTGCCTGTGCCAAACGCCAGAACCGTACTCTCTAAAGCAGCTAATTTTATCTTCTGTGAGCTTCACCTCAGTGAATGAGAAATCTCAGCAGTAATGCTTTCTAAAAACAGTATATTGCTTTTCCTGTTAAAGGAGCTGTTTTGCGACACCTGGATGGCTTGGTTAGTTAAGCATCTGGTTAAGATCAGGTCATGATCTCGGGGTCCTTAGACTGAGCCCCACGTTGGGCTCCCGGCTTCACCCTCCCCCTCTGCCCCTCCCCATGGCTTGTGCTTTCTTTTGTTCTCAAATAAAGTAAATAAAAGTCTTTAAACAAAAAAACTGTACACTTATAAGTCAATTACACCTCAATACAGTAGGTTTTAAAAAGCTGAGTCTTGATTATTGCTTAAAGACCAGGGTGGGCACGTAATGCTCATCTGCTTCCTGGGTACGTCAGAGCCCATTATGCAAGCAGGGCAGGCGTTAGACATGAGAAGTGCACATAAACAAACTGCCCCCATCCGAGTACTGCAATGCTCGGTGAGCGTGGTGGCTTACCAGGTCTGGGAGAGGACAGATAGCCCCAGTGTTCATATATAGCCCTTCCATGACGATGAAATGTCGAGTGACCCGAGCCATGCGAGGAATCTTTAAAAGGAAGACAAAAAAAAGACATTTTAAATCTCAGTAACTCCAAATGCAGAATCTGTTAGATGCTTCCTAGCACTCCACCCGACAAAATCTATTCATCTGAATAAGTAAACCAATAGACAGTCCAGGTGAGTTTCAAGTTCAAGGTTTTATGCCCTGTTATTTTGAGACAATAGTGCTGTCTTTTCTCATGTTTTCCAGTTCACTCAATCCATGAGGTGACTGCACACATGCATGCACACACGCAATTTAGGTGCTCTGAGAATGCCGAAGCACAAACAAAACTCCCCAAACCCAGAATGACTGAGATAGCCCAAGGGAAATTTGTGGGGAGATGGGCACATTTTAAGTCACAATGGGGCCATGATACCTGGATTATCCACTGGTCAAAATGTATGGCCAGGATTTTTTCACTTCAACATCTACCAGGTTTGCCTAAAACAGAGCTACAATGATGATGGCAATCATCACAGATGGGGCGGGAGTTTGACAGAGGCTCTGATGATACAAGAAGGGCAGAATGTTGATAAAAGGTTGGGAGAAGGGCACGAGGCTTCTTATACTACTGTATTTCCTTTGAGTATACCCGAGATTTTCCATAATAAAAAGTTGAAAAGACAAACCCTGTTCTCCTTCACCTACCAAACAGCAGATAAAATCCTTCCTAACCACCAGGTCAAGTAAAATTCAAACCATGACCTCATCCAGGCATGTCTGAGGCAGTGGCGGAGGGCTACTTCAGACAACACAGAACCTTCCTGCACCCCGCTGTTGGCAGGTCACTAATAATAAGCCACCCACCCTGGGGAATTTGTAGATGATTCAGGCGTGCAAGGTTGAAAAATACTGAGATCCTTGGGTAGAACTGGGAACATCTTCCTCTGCAAAGGTTTCTTGCCTCTAAGCTTCTAACGAGGGACATGCCAGAACCCATGGCTATAACACTCAGAGCATGCGGAATACATGCCCCTGAGTTGGCTCGACCACCTTCACTCCACTCTTGACTCAGACCCAAACGCCATGGGTTTGCTGGGAGTCATGGGGGAGGACAGGAAGAGAGGCAAGCCTCCCCCAACCTTTCCAGAATGAAGTATTTTTATTACGACTTAAAAAATACTCAATGTAGGAATCTTGGGAAATGAGAAAGTGCACAAAGTTTTTAACAGATCAGGTAGTTACAAGACCCATTGATAGTGACTGTCCAGACCTCAACACCACCATAAACTAAGAAGATCTAAGTGTCACTTATGAAACACATCACTGAGCAATGGCCATATACTCTTCTTTAAGTGACCAGGGAACATATTCTCACATAGACTACATCATGAGCCATGACACAAACTGCAACAAATTTAAAATCTCCCAAAACTTGGAAATTAAACACACTTCTAAATAATTTGTGGGTCAAAGAGAGTCTAAACGACAATAAAATATACCAAACTAAATGAAAATAGACCAACGTATGTGGGACAAGGCTAGAGGAGCACGTAAGTAGTGCACAGCACTAACACATAAGAAAAAAGGAAAAGTCTCAAATCAATAATCAAAATTCCCAACTAAAGAATCTAGAAAAAGAAGAGCAAAAAGAAGCCAAAAAGAGCAGAAGGCAGGAAACAATAGCAGAAAGTGATAGAATTGAAAACAAAAATATAATGGAGAACAATCATTGAAACAACCAGCTGATTCTTTGCAAAGATAAATAAAATTGAATAACTGGAGCAAAACTGACTACAGAGAGAGGAGAGAGAATACCAGACAGGAATGAAACGTGTTATCACTTCAGGTTCTGCAAACGTTTAGAAGAAAAAGGAAATATTATAAAGAACACAACCTAAGTTTCACAACTGAGAAGAACGAATTCCTTGAAAAAAAACACAAACCATCTTAACTCATCAATATGACACTGACAATCTGACCAGCCTTTTAAGTACTAAGGAAATTGAATTCAGAATTAAAATTCTTTCAAAAAATAAATCTCGGGGCGCCTGGGTGGCTCAGCGGGTTAAAGCCTCCGCCTTCGGCTCAGGTCATGATCCCAGGATCCTGGGATCGAGCCCTACATCAGGCTCTCTGCTCGGCGGGGAGCCTGCTTCCTCCTCTCTCTCTGCCTGCCTCTCTGTCTACTTGTGATCTCTGTCAAATAAATAAATAAAATCTTTAAAAAAAAAAAAAAAATCTCCAGGCCTGGTTGGCTTTACTGGAGAAATCTACCAAACATTTAAGGAATTAACATTAATTTTATACTATTTCTCCAGAAAACATAAGAAGGAATCCCAGGGGATTTTATGGACGAGTCGCCTAATGTCAAGATCAAAGTCCAAAAAATGCAAACATCATTAGCCATCAGGGGAATATAAATTAAAATTACAATAAAATCTCTCTATACGCTTATCAGAATGGCTAAAATTTAAAAAAAAAAAAAAATGACAATACCAAATGCTTCTGAGGATGTCGAGAAACTACATTACTTAAATACTACTTATGGGAATGCAAAATGGTACAGCCGCTCTGGAAAACAGGCAATTTCTTAAACAACTATGCAATGCTATGTAACCCAGCAGCCGCACTCCTTGGCCTACACCTACAGAAATGAAAACCTAGCTTTAGAGAAAACCTGTGCATAAATGCTCACAGCAGCCTTCTTTGTTCTAGCCCCAATCAGGAAAGAGCTCAGACATTCTCCATCGGTGAGTGGTTCAACCAACTGTGTTGCTTCCAGACCGTGAAGTACGTACGACTCAGTAATCACAAGGAATGAATTCACGATCCATACAACATGGGTGGACCTCCAGAGAATTAATGCTGAGGGAATAAGCGACTCCCCAAACACTATTTAGTGTACGACCACACTTGTATTAACAATCTTGAAATGACAACATTACAAAAAGGGAGACTGGAGGTGGCTGCCAGGGGATAAGGAGTAGGCAGAGCGGGAGGACCACGGATATGGCAACGTGAGGGATCCTTGTGGTGCAACGTGAGGGATCCTTGTGGCGACGGAAATGTTCTGGATCTTGACTTCATCCGTGTCCATAACCCAGCTATGAAGCAAGCACTGGCGGAGACAGGGCAAAGAGCCCACAGAATCTCCGTATTATTTGTCGTGAACAGGGACAGACCTAGCACGTGAGCAAGCACTCCACCGAGATTACTGCTGGCAAAGCTCTCCCACCATTTACTGAAAGTCAGAGACTAAGCCCTGCGCATAACTGTCCAGACCTAATGAATTCATCCAATAATTTACTAAACACCAGCATCACCTCTAGTGCTCCCACCTCTGGATGAGTTCTGGGAGGAACGTTTAAAGTGATGTGTCAGAGCACAGCAATTGGAAGCAAGCGCAGCCCAGGCCTCCCGGCCGGTACCACAGAAAACGCAATCCCACACTCGGGACCTGACGAGGATGCACACGAGCTCTGCGCAGCCACGTGCTGGCGCTCCGGGCTGCTGGGGGATGGAGGGGCAGGACGGGCTGCACACCTCCAGCCCTGGCCCCACGAAGCCCAACGGGGCCGACGCTGTGGCGTGTACCCGAGCTTGCTGCACCGGCAGGAGCCCACCGGGGAGAGGCGAGAGGCCGGTGCGGGGGCCATGGGAAGCTGGGCTCTGAGCCTTGGCGCTCAGACCCCTCTTCTAAGTGCCAGTCTCTGTTCATTTATTGACCGAGCTGGTGTTTTCTGAGCACAACTGAGCGGAAATGCGCTCCCAGGCAATGAACTAGGAAGGACCGACGGAAGTGCCACAGAAGCAGAGCCCAGCAAGCGTGAGGCGGGACGAGCAGGGGACAGTGGGGCCGTGTGCATGTGTGTGCACACGTGCACGTGGGAGGCCTGACAAGCAGGGGACTGTGACAGGCAGTGTGAGCACCCGTGTGATCTTGGGTTCCCAAGGAGACCAAACCCCTCCGGCTGTGAGACTTTCCCTGCATGTAGCAGGGGTCTCAGCTTGGTCCGTGAGGTGAGGGAGGGTGGCCCTGTAGAAGCACTACCGTGTGGGTGAGCAGAACGAGCCAGGATCAAGGAGGGGGGGAAGACTATTCTAGGCACAGGGACTGGTGTGTTCAAAGGCCCAAAAGCGAGAGGAAACTAGCATATAGGGCCAATGAGTCTACAGCACGAGCACCTGAAGGAAAAGGGGACAAAATGAGCCTGGAAAGGTAGTCTAGAATGCAGAAGACTGTAATAAGAACTTGGATCTTTATTTCAGGAACGATGGAAGCTCTTAAGCATGACATAATCAGATGAGCATTTTTTAAAAAGATTATTCTGGCTATGGTGTTAAAAAGGAAAAGAGGAAACAAAAGTAAATCTGAGACCTAAAATTCAAAGTCACTTAATGATCCACTCAAAGGACAGCAGAGGCTTGGGCTAGAGGGTGGTGTCCACAGTGGGAGCAGCTGGCTGCCCAGCTGGGCCAGCCCCAGCCCACTGCTCTCCGCTCTTACTCTTCACAAAAGTGGAGATGCCACACAGCCAGGGCACGTGTGCTTGAGTGCAGATTTGCTCGTGGCTTCTATGATCCTAGCAAGCCATGAAGCAAGGTCAGCAGAGAGCAGGACTCGGGGCGGGGTGGTGGGCAATGGAGGACTCCGCTGAGCGACTGCTTGGGCGGCGACCATGGACCTTCAAGGACACTACACTGCCACAGAGCTACAGAGGGAAGTAAGTTTGGCTTTCCCGACATCAGTAAATAAAACCAATCAATTAAAAAAGATGCTTTCGGCATCCTTATAGTGATGGTCTCATCAATGCCGCACCAATTACTTCGTGGAAATTCCTCTTTAAACAGAAAGTCAGTATTACCTAAGGCAGATAACCTCTAACAAAGGAATTCTCCAGGAAGATCACCATTATCTCCAGAGGAACTCTGACTGGCAACACAGGTAAAGTTACACACACAAACATAATGTCGCCTCTCTTGGAGTAAGCGGGGATTGTACTGGCTATGGTGGCAAACCCGTAGGAGCAGATGATGGCTTCTTCTGTCTTCATGAATTTTGCCAGGTGGTCTTCCAAATCCAAGTGCACATCTACAATAAGATGTTAAGTGGTTAAAACATCTTCTAATTCTTTCTCTTTAAGTACAGAATAAAGAAAATAACATAAGCAGTTTAGTTAGTAATACTGTCACTTTATGACCAAAATGAAACCGTCTTTGAGTTGTAAATTATATGAGATCTACTGAGATGACTCTCAGCCGAAACGATTCCCCAAGCCTGTGAATGGCATCAGCTACTCCTCTGCCCCTACAAGGTATTAGTGGGGCCGCTCCAATCCTGGCTCTTGCTTCTCTGCCACGCTAGCTCAGCGACACAAGGCCCAGCGACTTCACCTGTTTTGACTTCCCACAACCAACCCCATGGAGGCTTTACTAACGTGTGACTCGGTATTAAAGCCTTTTCCCATTTAGCAGAAGGTACCACACCAGACATTAAGACAGCTGGAAACCAACTTTAAAAGGAAAAGAAAAGATGAATAGGAGAGCCTGCGCCCTGCAGATGACAGTGGCGCCGGCACGCAGCGTGCACCTGCTCCAGCGCCACGGCAATCGCTCTCCCGTCCGACTCTCCACATGAGCGTACAGGGACTTCGGATGTGTGGAACAAAGAGAAATGCAGTCATTTACAAAAGCTGCTTGTGAAGAACGCTGGTGTAACAGCAGGAACGGACTGTGCCCGTTAACCTGGGACCACCTATCGTGGCTGCTCACTGCCGCTCACCTTCCCAGTCTCAGGCACTGGGCTACACTCCCCAGCAGGCAGGCTACACGCCCCTGCGGTGACTAGAATAAACAGTGCACGGACGAGCTTTGAACCTGAAAACTTCGAAGTGGTCCTAAAACGAGGCATTACCCAGGAGAGAAGAGGACTTTTAAAACTTCCTCTAGCTCTTTTCACTATAGCAGGACCCACGCCTGGACAACAATCAGAGTTCTGCCACACTCCCTGTCAAGGTTCAGGGAAGCAGACGCCTGAAGCGAGCTCTAGCTTACTTGCTGGGTATTGCTGCTCAGTTTTCCCGCTCCTCACTGCAGGTCTCTTGCCATCGAACTGGGGTTTGGCTCAGGGCACCTGCCTACGGCCGTCTGCCACTCGGCGGCGAGTTCCCACCTGCGCCCTCCATTCACGAGCAAGCGCATTCAGTCTCCGGTCAGGAGACACGGTGCACGTGTCTGAGAGTAGAGGGACAGAGGTGCTTCAGGCAGGTAGGCCGCAGGCGTGACCTGGCCCCTTGTCTCTTCCAGCTGTTTCCTGCCTTTCAGTCGTGCCCCTCTGTCAGGTGGCACAAACCCAGTCCCCCTCCCTGACCCTATGCTTACCAGACTACCTGGCGTTACCTGAAAGCCACTGCACGTCTGATTAACAAATGAACTGAGAACATTACTGGACTTCCCTCATCTAAACACTTTTTAAAATATATTTTTAAGGGGCACCTGGGTGGCTCAGCGGGTTAAAGCCTCTGCCTTCGGCTCAGGTCATGATCCCAGGGTCCTGGGATCCAGCCCCACATTGGGCTCTCTGTGAAGCAGGGAGCCTGCTTCCCTTCCTCTCTCTCTGCCTGCCTCTCTGTCTACTTGTGATCTCTGTCTGTCAAATAAATAAAATAAAATCTTAAAAAAAAAAACCCTCTAATTTATAAAAAAAATATATATATATATTTTTAAAAAGTCCATTCTTTTATTATAACCTGATTGGAATGGGATAAATAGTTCATTTTCACAATTCCTCCAAGACATGTGTACATGAAAGACCAAACACGCCTCTTCCTGTTGGCAGTTAAAATGTACACCAACATAGCGTATTACGAAAAGCACATGAAGTGCCGTTTGACTTCCATTCCTGAGAGGTCACGGTCACTGCACAGATGACATCAACATTAGCTAAGTGTGGGACTTTACAGTAATGAAGTCAATGACTGTATCCCATGTGATCCGAATGGTATCAAACAGGTACTTAGGTCTTGAGCATCAGACCTGTGACATCACCAACACACAGAACATGACCCTGACCCTGATGGCCCGTCCTCTGCCACGTGCTGCCAGTGAAAGGTTTCGGGGAAAATCGGACGAGAACAAGGGAAGCAGCCACATGCTAGAGAACCAGGCATCCCCCACACTGAGTAAGGAGCTCCTGCCTCCTCCTCAGAGTGCTCTCTGCACCATGCTTACAGGCAAGCCCCCGTCACCCCTATTTCTGATCAGAATGAGGGCAAGTCCCCCTCTGCACATGACAATGTGGCCTCTAAATCAGGACTATCTACCCCAAATCTCCATGATTTAGTTAGCAGACGAGCCCCAGAACTGCTCTCATCCAGTATCTCCATTTCAAAAACAAAACACCTGCTATGGACTCGCACTATTTTTGCTAAATACAAAGATTTTAAATCATTCTGTAGACTCCGCTTTACATGACTCATTTTTTCACTGATGAGGGATGAGAAAGTCAAACAACTTGGCTTAATTTCAGGGCTTTAGCATTAGCTACGCAGTGGACGAAAACTACATGTTAGAAACATTCCCACCGTCATACATACTCACAATTGCTTTTACATCACTGCCAAAAAGTGGTTAAGAAGAATCTACAGTAAGTCAATGACTTACCGATTCTTGCCTTTCCCAAAAGTCTAACAAAGACTGGCCTCTTTCTCCTCGTACCTGAAGACACTGGGCTTTAGCTGATGGCAGCCTTGCAGAGCAGGTTTGTGACAGGTGGGTGCGCTGCGCGCCTGACTTCCGATGTGTGACAGCTACAGGCCGTGCTCTCCTGCTTCTGATTTCGGTCTTCTGCGCAGACAAACCGTTCCACCGACTGTTCCACGGATTTGCACAGAGTGCAGGTAGAGCACTACACCCTCAGAGTCACTGCTAGGAACACACAGCAGGACAGAGGCCACGGAGGGAGGTGCCCAGAAAGCTCTGTGTCCCTCCCAGCACTCGCTGCCCTTTCTTGCACCCGTTCCCTAACCAGAACCTAACAGAAGGGATTTGAGGCCGGTACAGGATGTCTGGCACCCAAGGCAGGGCCTGGCCACGGCAGTCATCACAGGGGGTTCCAGATCTGGCCCCCAGCCTCACCGGGTGTGGACCAGGGCAGGCCTGAAACAGCTCCGTGCCTCTCAGGTTCTTCCTCTGTCAAAGAGGTAACAGTCAGACCGGCCTCAAAGGACTGTTACCAGAACCATGAGTCAATGCCCATGGAACACTCACAGTAACACCTGACATGGAAAAACCAATACACCATTTAAGTGTTTGTACAGGTAAATCAATATTTGTAGGATAAAAGGCTTTCTTTTAAAAGGAAAAACACAGTTACACCATTTTCTAATTAAGTTGTCCAAACCCCCGTATTTTTTTTTTTTTATTTATTTGTCAGAGAGAGAGAGGGAGAGAGAGCAAGCACAGGCAGACAGAATGGCAGGCAGAGGCAGAGGGAGAAGCAGGCTCCCCGATGAGCAAGGAGCCCGATGTGGGACTCGATCCCAGGACGCTGGGATCATGACCTGAGCCGAAGGCAGCTGCTTAACCAACTGAGCCACCCAGGCGTCCCCAAACCCCCGTATTTAAGAACCTCATATTATAGTAATTTTTCCATCTGCCTTCCCTTTTATTATTTTTTTTTAATTTTATTTATTTATTTGACAGAGAGAGAGAGCTCACAAGTAGGCAGAGAGGCGGGGGAAGCAGGCTCCCTGTTGAGCAGAGAGCCTGATGTGGGGCTCGATCCCAGGACCCTGAGATCATGACCCGAGCCGAAGGCAGTGGCTTAAACTCACTAGCCACCCAGGTGCCCCCTGCCTTCCCTTTTATATATCTCCTCTTTTATTCTGCTAAGAGGCATTTCAGCTTTCTTGGTTGTCTTCCAAAGGAAAGACTACAAAATAGTCAACTTCAGAACAGTTTAGAAACAACCAACTACATTTTTTCTTAAGGCTTCTATATTTTGTGTTACATACTGTTATTTTTTTTCCTATCCCTGGAGACAAGGACAACTTTTCTTAAAAGTACAAATAATACACTTATGCATTCATTAGAACATAAATATAGGGCTGAGTGTTTTCCAAAACGTTTTTCCGTGCAGCATCTTATGTGATTCTTGCCAAAACGTTCTAAGCTGTGCAAACAAGGAGCATCCCCACCTATCCTGCAAAAGCAACCCTGTGACCAGTTAGTATAAAGAAGTGGCAGGTCTAGGAACGTTATGACCAAATGTTCCTCCTAATAAAACACGCAGGCATGACTCAGTTGACTGCTCTGAATTAAAGAAAGAATATATTCTGAAAAATAAACTGAACAATTTACTTGTTCACTAATGGCTCCTGAACACAATTAAATGCCACTATCCTTCACCATGAAATCCTGCCACTGACTGTATTTTGACTTAGTTTAAAAACAAAGAGTCAAGCAGGCACTGTGTATGCAAAGCAGATACTGGGAAACCAGTGATAACCTCCAGTAAAAGAGATCTGAACGTATTCAAGGAAAACCGAGAAGCTGAAAAAGAGAAATTGTCCAAGCACGCAGCGGAGCCCTAGAGGAAAGTCCTCTCTAGGGCCTGACAAATTCCTCTCGTGCCGTTCTCAAACACACGCTCTGACAATAAAATAAGAAGCTGGAAAACTCCTAACCACATGGTCCTGACAAGATGACCAGAGACCTTGAGGAGTTCTACTTGCCAAAGGCAGAACATTCAGCCCAAGAAACTAGACGAATTTTAACTCAACCATCATTTGACTTTTTTTTTCTGTATTGATCATCTAATGTCATCTAATACGTTACTATGAAATAATAAAAAAGAAAACATTTTAATAAAGAAATTGATTTTTACTAGTGATTTACATTCATTTTTGAAAAGCTGAAAAAAGAGCTAAACAAAGAAGTCTCTTCATCTTTGAAAGTGGATGCCTGAATGTGTTACTCCCAGGGGAAAAAAAAGAGGACATTAAAAAAATAACTTTTGGGCGGGGGGGGGGGCCCTGGGTGGCTCAGTTGGTTGAGTATCCAGCTTCTGATTTCGGCTCAGGTCATGAACTCAGGGTTGTGAGACGGAGTCCCGCGTCAGGGTCTGTGCTCAGCAAGGAGTCTGCTTAGGACCCCTAAAAATCCAAACCCAATTTAAATTTCAAACTCACTCCAACAGCAAGGTACAGAATACATGCAGGCTATGCTGCCATTTTTGTAAAAATAATGGGAAAACGTATGTACGGGAAGTAGTTTGCATTTGCTAAAAAACGTCCCTGGAGGAATTAATAAGGAACTACTCAGAGTAGTAGTTCCTTAGTAGCTGCCTTTTGTGGGGGCGGGGGTGGGGGGGCTGGCTGCGATAACGGTGGGGGAGGAGACAACTTTCACTCTCTGTGAACCTTCCAAAGCTCACATCATGGGCTGAATTATTCAATCAAAAATACTTAGAAATCATGAACTTGGGGCACCTGTGTGGCTCAGTCGTTAAGCGTCTGCCTTCGGTTCAGGTCATGATCCCAGAGTCCTGGGACTGAGCCCCTCATCGGGCTCCCTACTCGGCGGGAAGTCTGCTTCTCCCTCTCCCGCTCCCCCTGCTTATGTTCCCCCTCTTGCGGTCTCTCACTGTCAAAAGAATAAATAAAAATCTGAAAAAAAAAAAAAAAAAAGAAAAGAAAAGAAACCATGAACTAAAGATCCCGCATCTGGAAGCACACGACAAGCCGCTACTGCATACTTCAATCCGGGGGAGCCACACACAAAGCTGACTGGGCTATTTTTACCAACTCTGGGAAAACTGGTTTCAAAGAGTTCAAACCTTTCTTTTTCATGACTTGATTCAGCAATAAATCTGCTATTTTCTCAAATTAACTCCCAAGCAGAAGCCAAGGTCATACATGAAAATAAAATTCCCTAGAAAGAAATGCTTTCAAGAAAGTAATTTTTTTTTTTTAACCCCAGGCAAGCAAATTATAGAAATTCTTGTTGATCAGATTACAACAAACAACCCATAAAAATTGTCTTGCCTAGCTCTCTAATACTACTTATCCAGGAAGTAATTCCTTACCAGTAACAACCAAGCAGACAACCCGTGTCTGCACTAAAGAGGCGAACTGACCGGCGCTCTGTAAGTCTTTGGTCCTGCCATCAGGGCTGGCATTAGAGTACTTGGCTCCTCGTTATAAGGCTGAAATTAATGAGCTGTGTGACTGTGAGGAAGTCACGTAACCTCTCTGAGCTTTCTACACCACTTCTGAATGGTGGGATGCTGGAACACAAGATATTTCAGACCCACCCCAACTTAAAATATTGGGACACCTACTCTGTTGTCTGTTTCCAATACCAATAATTTAATACTAAGCTAGCTAGGGAATAAAGAAAGGTTCTCCCATCCATAAAAACACCTTCACTGTTTAAGACAAAAACACACACACACAGGCTTAGACATGGAAACTTGGACAGAAGACAGAAGAGATTTCCCAGGCTCTATTTTCCCCACATGCTGCCATGTGGAGGCCAGAACGTTACGTCCCCCACAATATTCACGTGAACAATCATTTAACAACATTTTCCCTGAGGACTCTGAGTTGGGGACTTCGTCGTGTTTGGAACCACACTCATCCTAAGACACAGGTGGTCGTCAATGACCCTCTTCATTCCAGGAAGAGCCACATCATCAATCCTTCACCACCTCCCACCCCATCTGTCCTGTCTCCCTTCCCCTAGGAGGTGGTTGCCCAGCTGGAGCCAACCCCAGTCCACTCACAGCAAGGCTGGAGCCAGGTTCTGGGCTCCCCAGCAGAAGGTGGGCAGAGCCATGTGCAACACCCCATGCCTGCTTCAAGGGCTACTGCAGCCGCACAGCCTGCTCCTTCACACCGGCCCTCGGCTGCACCCTCGCGGACAAGCACATGGACGGTAGGTTCGGCACTGGAGGAAGGGGACGGGGAAGAAGTCGGTAACTGCATAACTGTGAAGAGCAGGGCCATCTGCAGCAGGACCTATCCCTTTCCAACAGGCAAGCACGACAGAAACAAACCGGGTCTCCTCACGCCACGGTCCTTGGGGCACCTACAAGAGCAGCTCAGGCTCCGCCGGGCTGACGAGCTGGCACTGGGCAGCAGGTCCTTTCCTCCACGAGGACCAGGGCCCCTCACGCACACAGACTCAACCACTCAGCGCCACAGTTAATCACGGATCTCTTTTCCGAGGAGTTTTGAAATTAAACTGAGTCCGTCGTTAGACACAGGCGAGTAGTATGAAGGAGACAGCGGTACATACCAAACGTGCCATAGAATCCTCTAGGTCCGCAAGTCCCCACGCCATACTTCAGAGACGCCAAAGCTGCCGCCTTTGTGGGAGAAAAGTCAGGTCTTAATGCTTTATCTTCAGGGTTCAAAACTGACATTTCCTACTCTTTACCCCTCCTCCCAGGGCGCCCCACTGCCAACTATGTCCCTTTCTTTCCTAGAAGCGTGGCAATTCTGACTGGACATGAAGAGCAGATACATGCGAACATGTAGGGACAGAACTTAAAACATGGAAAAGCGGTGTTAGTCTGATTATCCAAACATGGTTAACTCAAGGCCTTTATGATTTTTGGCTTTTCTGGGCAGAAGTCTTTCCTCCGAACGGCTCACTGTCCTCCCAGGACACAGAGCCATTTCCGAGGCACACCTCCGACTGTGACCTGGGGGCTGGCTCACAGGGCTCCCTGGATGTCAGGGCCCCCAAGCCACACCACACACCCTGACTGCCCACCCTCTGTCGAACCCAGGTCACAGCTCTGCCAAGAAAGAGCGATGGCCAATGGCCAGCAGAGGGAGCCCCTTCCCATGTTCTATGTTGGTCTCTTCTCTCCTGCCCAGTTTTCTAAGAAATCTGCGGTTATGCACAAGACCTACTTACCTTAACCCGAGCGTTATCCAACAATCTCGGGAAATTAAAGGAGGCAAAGTTGACACATTTCTTTCCATTCACCACAGTGTTGTGGCTGGGGGTCTGAGGAAAGAGGACAGAAGTAGATTTGAGCAGATATTCATGTTCCAGGGCACGTGCTGTCACAACACTCTGGGGCCACACGAGACACAGAACTGATGTCACTCTACCCTGGCTGCACACCGGTCTCCTAGCTCTCTGCTCAAACTAACTGATGAATCATTTCAGATTTATTTATTTCTAGAGAGAGTGTAAGTACACACGCAGGAACAGGGGAGAGGCAGAGGGAGAGAGAGAATCCCAAGCAGACTCAGAGCTGAGTGCGGAGCCTAATGCAGAGCTTGATCTCATGACCCTAAAACCATGACCTGAGCCTTAATCAAGAGTCAGCCGCTTCACTGACGGAGCCACCCAGGCGCCTTCTTCTCATTATTTTTGAAGTGTAAAATTAGGAAGTGGTATTTATGAATCAGCCACTAGTTTTATTATCAGGCTAATTTGTAGTACTTAAAAAAAAAACAACAACAAACAAGTGAGCTATAATTCCAACACAGATAAATGACAAACCTTTATTGGATTTTAAAACTCATTAAGAAAGAAGTAGCTAAATGAAATGAAGTACCTTGGGAAAAAATTTGGAATAAGACAAAAATGAAGGAAATATAAAAACATCAAAATCAAAAGCAAGAATGGGAAGAAAAGGTTTGGCTTTATAGTTAAATAGTTTGAAAATACACATTAACTACAGAAAGAGACAACAGCAGTCAGTGGGCTAGGTTTCCCAGTTCTACAGTTAGTGCTGGAATACTGTGTAAGAAGGATCCTGCTCTAGCCCCGGGGAGAAATAAAGCAACAGGGTGTCCAGTAGCCTGGGAGCCCAGGTCTCAGCAGACAGGCTCTTGAGATGACCACAAGTGCTCTGCTAATGATACTTCCACAGGAAGACCGGAAAACCCTGCTCTCGGGCCAGGTTCAAAGAACTGGTTTTCGAGGAGAGAAACAGACGATGCTGGGCAACCTGGGAAGGAAGAGAATGACCACCGGAAGTAAGTGGACCTGTACAGAAGGCAGGAGGCCTCTGGGAAAAGAACATGGGGTGCACCTGCATTCCAGCTCCTCCTGGCTTCTGGAGCTCGGGGAAGCTCCCTCGACCGGTGAGTCTCTGCTCCTTCATCCATGAAGTCGGGAGAGAACCCACCTCTCCGGAGAACAGCTCTAAAAGTGCCTGGTCCATAAGAGGTGCTCTCTAAATATTCCTTCCTTCTTCCCTATGTCCTCAAGGGCTTCTCCTCTCAACCACCTGCTCTGACTCTGAACCCACCATGTCATTCGGTGGCCTTCTTAGGTTTCCTGCTCCTGCTGGCATGGAGTTGCCGGCGCTCAGAAAGAGAAAAGACGGAGCCACTATGGAGACAAGTCTGTAGTAAAGCCTGCCGGGAAAGTCAAGGCTGTTCTACAAAAACTAATAAGCAAAAACAAAACAAAATGAAACAAAACCACTAACAGAGAAATCAAACCATCCAGGAAAAGTACACCCCAAACCGCTGAGCACAGCTGATAAGCTGTCAGGAGGCAGCATGATGTAGGAGTCCGGGACCTAGTTCCTGTCGGCACCTGGAGCAGGGAAGGAGCAGCTGTGGGCAGAAACGGAAGGATCCCACCCGTGCTCTGTGCAGCTTTGCAGGGATGTCACACTCGGCCCTTACCACTGAACACCAGAGAACGGGACCCTTCAGGATCTCTCGCAGATGCAAATATAGCCAAGCTAGAAAGACAGTTTCACAATGAAGGCATCAGAGGACAGAAGGTGGGAAAATAAAACCCTTCCCAACCAAAAGCCACAACCTCACTATTAGTGAGAGTCAGTAATTAGAAAGTGAACTTAGAAACATGGAGGACAGTGTTTTAACAGAAGGAGACTAGGATTACAGAACCGCACGAACAATGGGTTGGGTAGCAGTGTGAGAGCAGCTCCCTAGAGCAATGAAAGACTCCAGAGCCCAAGAGAACTGTGTGCATATAAACACCTGGCGAATGACGGCAGATGCACCACAAACTGCCAAATCACACACATTTCTTTTTCTATGGAGCAAAATAAAGTTGGATAAACATGCACAAAGGTGAATTCTAGGCATATTAGAAACCTAGAAGATATTTTGGAAGAGGTAACAAAAGAAAATGTGGAGGAATGTCCTAGCGACGCCAGGGAGTATGGGGAGAATTTCTGCACAAGTCCTCCCACACACTAAGAGTGAGACCAAAATGGATGAATCAGAGTCAAAATTAAGAATTTAGTTGGGGATCCTGGGGGGCTCAGTCAGTTAGGCATCCGACCCTTGATCTCAGCTAAGGTCTTGGTCTCAGAGTCGTGAGCTTAGGCCCTGTGTTGGGCTCTGCTGTGCGTGGAGCCTACTTAAAAATAAAGAGAGAGGGAGAGAATTTGGTTCAGTGATGACACCGCCGACAAAGCTCACAGATGGGCAACACTTACTGAACACTTCACCGAACCGAAGATGCCACAGCCATTTTTAAAGGAAGGAAAACTGTGCTGATAAAACAGGAGGATGTTTTCTTGTGATCTTACAATTTCCGAGTTTACACCGAATGAGAAGTTCTATTAGGTATCTCAGACACAGATTTTTGTCACACTACATCTGCACAACTAAGCGAGAAAACATAACAGAAATCCGTCAACACATCCCTAACCGCTCCACCGGAGCCCCGGCTGTTTGCTCCACGCCTCCAAGTCACGGACCGCACGGGTGCGCCGACAAGAGTCCTCCAGGCTGTCAGGAGCGCCTCGTGTCGGGCAGGGTGCTCCCTCATCATTGCCGAGCTTGCCTGACAGGTTAGCATCTCCCACACCTCAAATTCTGATGCCGAACTCTGTCCCTGGGCTGAATTCATCTTTCCCCCAATGGAATCACACTTCTAAAAGCCAGGTGCAACCACCCACAGGCAGGAATTTGACGGAGGGAGGTTCAAGCCTCAGTCACTGCAGCCTCTGCTCACTGGCTGGGAGGAGTCTGGACCTTTCCCCAGCCGGTCCCTGGTTTCCCTGCCAGCAGCGCTCACAGCTCTACGGAGGAGCCAGCGGTAAGTGCAGCCAGGACCAGTTTACAGGGCCAGAGGCAAGGATGGCCCCGCCGACAACAACTCTCAGAATCCCTAAGATTCATCCCGGTTCAAATATCTGATGATAGGAAGAACACGAACGTGTGTCTTAAAACTGACATACAGAGCACTACACTGAAAACGGACCACAGAAGAAAGTCTACAAGGCACACGGGATTCGGGCTAATCAAGACACGCACCAGGAATGCAGCGAGAAGAGGTGAAGACATGAAGAGGCATTCACAGAATGGGAAAACCCCACCGGCTCCTAAGCAGATGAAATGATACTCAAAGGCCCAAATAATCAGAAAAATACAAAATAAAACAATGTTGCCCAGCAGGGCTGTGGGAAGCTGGGCCCCCCTATCCCAACTCAGGGGAGCGGAGATGGGTGCACCACCAGGTAGGGAAGCCCCACAGGGAAATGAGACAGGCGTGTGTCAGGACCTACTGCTGGCTCCAGAGACTCACGCAGCTGCACAAGGGGCCAGTAATCACCAGATTTTGTGTGGCAGCGGGGAGTGGGCGCAGCTGAGGGACCCAACATGAGCAAAGCGGCTAAGTACACAATGGAGGCCTACACAGCAGGTGGAAGGAAAGAGCAAGAAGCACATCCAGCCCTCCCCATCCGGTCTGCGCTGAGTGAAATCTCTTCATTATCCCTTCACGCCAGCTAACATTCTATTTCACTGTTGGTTTGTCTGCCCCAGAAGACCTACAATTTTGATTCACTGTATGTGCTCAGCACATTCCTGGGGCACAATGGGCGCCCAAACATATGTTTAAAAAAATGAGTGTGAATAAATAAGAATCAGAAAGAAGTTGGAGCACAAAATTAAAAACATACTTCATAAAACGTTAAGATCTATTTCCAAAGGTAGTGTGACAATTAACACTGGGAAACCGCATGAAGCTGACTTGGGGTGCTGGAGGGGAAGCTAGGGGGGAGGCTGGAGGGGAGGCTGGAGGGGAAGCTGGGGGGGAAGCCTGGAGGGGAGGCTAGAAGGGGAGCAGCACGGTTCAATGCCAGTCACAAGAAGAACTGGGGATTCCAGGCCCCTCCCAGAGGAAGCAATCTTCAACTATAGCCCCTAACCGGGAGTGTGGGGCACAGCATCTCCTACAAGAGACCCACCAGCCCTGCAGCTCAGCCAGTGAGAAGCCCTCACAGGCCTGGACTCTTGCTTACCTCCAATAAACTTTCATCAAAATAACCCCTCTCGGGGCACCTGGGTGGCTCAGTGGGTTAATAAGCCTCTGCCTTCGGCTCAGGTCATGATCTCAGGGTCTTGGGATCGAGTCCCGCATCGGGCTCTCTGCTTGGCAGGGAGCCTGCTTTCTCCTCTCTCTCTCTCTGTCTGCCTCTCTGCCTACTTGTGATCTCTCTCTGTCAAATAAATAAATAAAATATTTAAAAAAAAAAAAAAAAACCTCTCAACAGCCTCCTCCCTCAGAAAATGACATTCCTCTCCCTTGTCTGTTGGACTTACCCACAGTTTAGCCCTAACTTGCTGGTCCCAAATTGTAATTTTTATTCCCAAATAAACCCATTTTTATTGGTAAAAATAACTATTTTTAAGGTTAACAATACATGCATAATAAAAATAAAAGGCATCATTTTAGTAATTCAGACATACAGGACATCAAGCAATGACTGAAAGTTCAGTGGAAGTATTTCAGGGGGCGGCCAAGTGGGGGTCTGGGGGGAGGACGAAAGGAGACAAGGTGTAAAACACCAGCGCTGCCCTGTGCGGGGCGCCAACCAGAGTGGAATGGAGGACAGGGTCAGCACCTGTGTCCACAAGGCCGCACGTGGAGAAACTAAGATGGAGCTTCCACCGAGTCAGAAGACAAGACTCTGGCAGAGCTGAGTGAGAAGCGAGACCCGAGCAAACACCGCCTGCGGGGGAAACACGACCCTGCACGTGCGCCATCATACACCTCTGTACCTAAAGGCATGTGGTCAACGCAACCTGAGAAACTGCTTCAGGTCAATTCACTCAGAAACGGTAAGAAGAAATGGACAATTACTAACGGACAATAACCAAAACTCACTCAGTTTGAAGAACTCACTGAAGACAGGGAGTTTGGGACTAAAAATCTAGGCTCAACACAACAAACAGTGCGACCAATGCAGACCTGTTAGAGGGAGGTGGAGGGTCAGTAACGCATCCTCCAGACTGAGCAGCCCCTCCACGACTGAAAGCTGAAGCCGGCCCCCATCGTGCCGACGGAGCTGTGGGGTAACTCACCGATGGGGTGCTGAGGCAGGCAGGCAGGCAGGGCAGTGAGTGCGCAGCCGCTCTGCGCCCAGTCCAGGCGAGCCTTGCCCTGGCTCTTCGGGAGCACAGGGCATGGGGGCACGGTCACGGGGTAGTCATCTAAACTGGGGCCTTCTGCAGGCCAGTGATCCCGACCAGTTACCTACGATGTCTTCTTCAGGGAAGATCGGAACAAGCCTCCCCTCTTCCGGTCAAGGCATACGTTAACCTCCACGGGGCCCAGACCACAGAGCCCTGGCGAGGTCACTGCACGGGCATGAAACTGGAGGGCCAGAGACGGAGTCAGTGTTGTCAGCATGCCGACCACACGATGACTAAGAGGAGGGCAAGGCCGATTATATCTGATACCTGAACTGGAGCAGCAAAATGAAGGGAAAAGAAGAAACAAAACTCACATTTCAACAGGCAGGTCAAGAATCCCAAACATTAACAAAACAAACCAGCAACGTATAAGAACTAATCAAACAGCCTTATTCCAGGTATTTAAGAATTATTTATGAATAGAAGATCTACCAGTGGCCTCTGGTAAAATGAACAAAACCCGTCAGCCTGCGGTCCCTTCTAATGGGACATAAGATGCCTCCAAGGTCTAACTAGCTGATGCTACTAAGACCAGGATGCAGGGAGGGACAACTCCTGGCAAATGGACAGGTTGTATGTGAGAAGTCACAGACCAGAGAGAAAGCTGCACGTGAGCCAGCAGTGAGCAGCTCAGCTGCTGCTCCTGGAAAACGACCCCCCCTCACCCCAGGGAACAGTTCCCTGTGAGCACGAGGGCAGCTGGAAATCTGGTAAGCAGCAGCCACTCGCTCAGATCCCCTTCCTACTCTGCAGAAAGACAGCAGACTTCCTCCCTGGAAAAGCCTGAGTATAACTTTAAGTCCTACGGACAGCTGCGGGATGGCACCGTGCTGAAAACAGGAATCGAGTACAAATCCACATGATGAAAAATGGGACACCGAGCCCTCCTCCTGGAAACAAAGAAGGAAACCTGCATAATCTCGAATCAGGGAAGGACTGTAAAACCAATACAAAAGCACAAGCAACAAAAGAACAAAACAGAACTCTGGATTTCATTAAAATTAGAAACATTTGTGCTTCAAAGCACACTGTCAGAGAAGCAACAAACCCACAGAATGGGGAAAAATATCAGCATGTCGCATTTTTGATAAGGGACTGGTATCCAAAATATACAAAGTTTTCTTATAACTCAATGATAAAAAGACAAATAACCCAATTAGAAAATGGGCAAATGACTTAAATAGGTTATTCTCCAGAAAAGACGTATAAATGGCTGATCAGTGCATGAAAAGATGCTCAGCGTCATTAATCATTGGGAAATGCAAATCCCAACCATGGAGGGTACCACTCCCCACCTACAGGATGGTCACAATGAAAGACAGTGTTGGCCAAGACAGGGAGAAATTACAACTCTCATGCATTGCTGGTGAGAATGGAAAATGATTCAGCCACTTTGGAAAACAGACTGGTGGGTCCTCAAAGTAAGTTCCCACAAACCTCGACAATTTCATTCCCAGGTGTATATTCAGGAGAAATAAAAACATATGTCCACAGAGGAAATGTGTACATAGAGGCGCCAGGGTGACTCAGTTGGTTAACTGTCTGCCTTTGGCTCAGGTCTTGATCCCGGGGTCCTGGTACTAAGCCCCTGCAGTTGGGCTTCCTGCTCAGTGTGGAGTTGCTTCTCTGCCTCCCTCTGCCCGTCCCCTGCTTGTGCATGCACGCTCTCTCTCTAATAAACTCTTTTAAAAAAGTGAAATTAAATAAAAAATGTACACAAATATTCATGGGAATTTATGCACACATATAATCTTTCTCCTTTCATATACTACCATGGAAACAACCCTAAATGCCCATCAACTGATAAATGTGCAAAGTAGGATATATTCAGAGTGAAATGCTGTATTATTCAGACACAAAACTGACACAAGCTACTCTGGCATGGACAAACCTTGGAAACGTGATGCTAAATGAAAGAAATCAGACACAAAGGGCCACATACTGCATGATTCCTTTAAAGTCCAAAACAGGCCAACACACAGAAAAAGTAGGTTAGAACGTGTCAGGGGAAAGTAGATGGGGAATGGGGGGCGTGGGGGGTGAGTGAGCATGGGTGTGCCATTTCTTTCTGGGGTGATAAAAATATTCTGGGGGCGCCTGGGTGGCTCAGTGGGTTAAGCCTCTGCCTTCGGCTCAGGTCAAGATCTCACGGTCCTGGGATGGAGCCCCACATCGGGCTCTCTGCTCAGCGGGGAGCCTGCTTCCTCCTCTCTCTCTGCCTGCCTCTCTGCCTACTGGTGATCTCTGTCAAATAAATAAATAAAATCTTTAAAAAAAAATATTCTGAAATGAGACAGTGGCAATGGTTGCACAAGTCTGTGAACATACTAAAACCCACTCAATTGTGGTGAATTAAAAGACTGAATTTCATGGTCTGAGGATTATGTCAATAAGGCTATTATTGAAAGACAAAACCTCTCCAAGTTAAGTAAATTCACTTACTCTTGTGTTAACCCAGTACTGAATGAACAGCACTAGTGCGTTCACTGAAAAGTAGCTACATTTTTTTTCTACAGATTTTTTTTTTTTAAAGATTTTATTTATTTGACAGACAGAGATCATAAGTAGGCAGAGAGGCAGGCAGAGAGAGAGGGGAAGAAGCAGGCTCCCCGCTGAGCACAGAGCCCGATGTGGGGCTCGATCCCAGGACCCTGGGATCATGACCTGAGCCGAAGGCAGAGGCTTTAACCCACTGAGCCACCCAGGTGCCCCTCTACAGATTTCATTTATTTATTTGACAGACAGAGATCACAAATAGGCAGAGAAGCAGGCAGAGAGAGAGAGGGAAGCAGGCTCTCCACTGAGCAGAGAGCCCGATATAGGACTCGATCCCAGGACCCTGAGATCATGACCTGAGCCGAAGGCAGAGGCTTTAACCCACTGAGCCACCCAGGCGCCCCAAGACAAGCAGTCTTTATGAAGAAAATTACACGGCTTTACTGTAGGACATGAAAGACCAGAGTGACACACCAGGCACATGGTAGTTTCCCACGAATCCACATCAGTGCACTGCCGGTCACAACCCGACCTCATTTGTCAGTCCAATGTGATAAGTTAAACAAGCTCACACTGAGGAACAGAACTGCAAAGAGCCATGCAGTTCGGAAGGACAAGGAGGTGAAGGGCTTGCTCTAGTCAAGGCCTATTCTTATACTGTGCTATTTATGTGAAGTTCTGGCACCAGGAGAGATAGACACGCCGGCAGAGGAGAAACAAAGCCAGAAACAGACCTGTTAGAAGGGCAGACACTATACAGAAGAAGGGAAATTTCTACTCAGTAGGTAAACAATGAACAAGTCAATGCATGCTGGGACAGCTGACCACCGTACTGACACAGGCACATTTGACCTCGGGGGGCAGGGAAGGACTTCTTAACCACAGCACTGATGATGAGTAAGTCTGAGTTCAGAACGCATAAAAATTCTGGATGACCACAGCAATGCACGGAGTGAAGAATGCAAACCTCCCTTCCATCAGCGCAGGACTTGAAGGACACACTCAGAGAAATATGCTGCATCACACTTTTAGACAAAATACTCAATAATTTCATGGCGTCAAGGATACGCGTTAAAAGTATAAATAGAGGAACACTTGGGTGGTTCAGTTGGTCAAGTGTCCGACTCTTGACTTTGGCTCCTGATCGCCGGGTCTTGAGTTCAAGTCCTGCATCATGCTGTGTGCTCAGCGTGGAACCTGTTGAAGGTTCTCTGTCTCCCTCTGTCCCTCTCTGTTCTTAGGCACGCTCTCTCTCTCTCTCTCTCCCTCTCTAAAGAAATGAAATTGTTTTTTTAAAAGGTTTAAATGTAAGTGAAAGACATCCATCAACTTCATGAAAATGGTTGTCCTTTGTGGGTGAGAAGAGTAAGTGGTAGATGGGAAGGCGTTTCTTAGCTATAACTGCAACGTTTTATTTCTTTCTTAAGGTAGATTGGAAATAAAGATAGCAAAATGTCAATGCCTATTTATCCTGCATGGTGGGTATACATGGGTCAGATATTTCCTACAAACTTAAAATACTTCTTAATTTAAGAAAGCATACATGGTAAAGTAAAGACAAGCAACAGAAGAACTAAACACAAAGACAGATCAGACCTTGGAACAAGGAGGGAGAGAGGCAGCACAAGGAAGGTCAAGTTTCAGAACTCGAACTGTCAAAGTCAAGTGCTGCTGTCTATAGCTACCTCACCAAGCAGAAGTGTGAGCACACTATTCATATCTGGTTACGAAGGTAACCTACAACAGATCTAAAATCAGAAACAATGAAGATGAGAAAAAGCAGGAGCACTGCTTTCATTTCAACTCTGTCTCACTATTTGAAGTATTACCAGGAGCATGTATAATTTCACAAAACAAGGTTTTTGGTTTTTGTTTTTTTAATGGAAGAAAGGGACAAACTGCAATGCCCAAACTAGGGACCATAAAACTGTCCGTACATCCTTAACAGAGTCATATATTGGGCACTAAAACAGTTTCTGAGCTTCCAAGATTTCTCACAGTTTGATTTCTGCTAGAAATACTACATAAACCTCTGTATGCTTTGGCGAGTATACCTACAGGAGAGCAAATACACATCCTTTGAGAAGCAAACCACTTTACCCTGAAACGACGTTGTAGTTGAGAGCAGGATGGTCTTTCGAGATGGGAGGAACAAGAGGTTCTGGCTGCCACTCTTCAATCAATTCTTCCTTTTCCTATGGGAGAGAAGGAAACAAAATACAGCAGGGTGCTGGTCACTGTTTTGTTCCCACACTTCCGTTAAAAGCAACCAGTAAGTTCCTTATCTGTTTCTGAACAGCAGCCCGCGAGGCCATGTCACGCACACGGCCTGCCTGTGACCCGGGGCCAGATGTCAGAAGCATCACAGGATCCCCTTGTGTTCAAGAGACTGCAGATCTGTAAACCGAAGGACACTACATCTATGTTGCCAGAAGTTAAGCTTTAAAAACAGTTTTTTTCTTCCACACCTTTTCCGGTAAGATGTCCATGATTACTAAATCTTGCTAAGTTCAGCTTTCAAAGGATGACTCTAAAGTTATGTCCAATCATTCTCTAAAAAATATAGGTATGTGTGGACTGCCAGCTTTATAAACAAAAATTCAAAATACCAGGAATGACGAACCGCTTACAAAGCTGAGCTAGAAACCAGCCACCTGATCATTCATAAGGAGTTCTGAAATGCCAAGGGAAAAAGCTGAGACAGGACCTCTGCCCCGGATGGCCCCATCTTACTGTAATGCTATCCAGAGTGCTCCATGGCATGCTAATCCCACAAGGCAGTCAGAACAAAACGGTGGGGGAGGGAAGAATCTGTGGTCAAGGTGAGGGCATCTCTCCAGAGGTTCAACTATCCACTAGCCTAGTAAAGGCTACGTGAAATCATGTGATCAGACATGCCCTACTCTGCATTAAGCAGGTTTCCCAAATATATTTGCCCTAAGAACCGTATGCTTCATGTCCTTTGGGGGGCACTGCCTGACTGTCCTACAAGGAATATGAACGATCAGGAGGGAGGCAGCCAGTCAGCACAGCATGGGAAGTGATCACCGCGCTGCTGCCTTAATTCTGCCCCATCTCCATGCTGCACCCAGTGCTGCCTTGTGAACCAGAGTTGTAGAGATTTTCATGGAAAAACCTTTCTCACAGTCATGGGTCTCTCTGAGCATCCTGGCCCAATACTACAGGGGCTGGACAGGGAAAGGGCCCGAGGGACGGAAACCACGGTGTGGTCAGAACTGCTCTTCCCTCTTGCACTGGAGTGCCATTCCTAGGTGCTCCCACTGAAGTGAGAGGACAAGCTTCTTTTCCACAAGCCTCCTCATCCTTCAGGTGAACGGGATGCCACATGGGCAGTGCCACAGTCCCCTAGACACTTCTGCTTCCTAAGGTTTGCCTGGCTTGGACTTGGGCTGGGTCCCTTACCACAGAGAAATTCAGTTTGGGGTGGGGAAGTGGGAGGATTGTTTCCTACTTTGAATTTCCTTCATGAAGAACCCAGGGAAAATTCTGTTTAGGTTTCAGAACCAGTGGTGTTCTTCCTGCGCAGCTCACGTCATTCTGCACGTAGATCATCGAAATGTTGTCGCTGCCCAGGCTTCCCTCCTACCATCTGTCCCTAAATCTGCTGCTTCCCTAACACAGTGCAGCGTTCTGTGGCGGGGTGCCCCTCTGGGTGGCTACTTTACCCCTGGCTTCTCCACGTTCAGCTTCCCTGATATTTCCTTTCCGTTGACTGTTCACATGACAGAAAATATTTTAACATATATAGGTGAGCCACCACAAGTATTTTTTGGAAGGGTGTACCAACTGCAATCATACAGTGAGTAGTAAAAGATTTAATTTCTTACCTTGACTGTAAGATCAGATCGTTCTGGTAATCTGTATGTTTTAGAGAACAGAAGTCTGATTATCCAGAGAATTAGAATGCCTTCCAAAATAAGGTGGTAAGCAGGAGCCTAAGAATGAGTCAAAAACCGAAAAAGAAATGAAGTAAACACTTCCAAAATCTGCACATAAATTGTGATGCACTCATATATTGCCTCCCATTACCTTAAACCTATTGCTTCTTAAGATTTATTTTCAAAACTCCTTTTATTTCTACTCATTCCTCTCACCATTTCTAATAGTCAGCAATTTCTCCTTCACACAAAAAATCTGATAGCACAGCTTTAAAACCTCCATAGGAAAGAAATTTAATTCTTAAAATAAAATCGGATGTAGAAGCCCAAGACGTGGAACAATATCAACTATCAGGTCAGTCGGATAACGTACGTTTCTACTGGTGGGAAAGGACAGCAACCAACACTTCACAGCTTTGCTAGCCTTCTTCCACCCCAGTGAACCATGGATGAGTTAGGAGAGTTATCTGAAATTCAGTTTCCACAATTCTTGGTGTTTTGCACATCTTACTCTATTTTCCGTATCCCTGATAAGGCTCTTTAAATCCTTCTTGGAACACGGCTGAGAGAAAAAGACTTTATAAAGGCCTAAAGGAATGGCAGGGTTTTTTTCTTACAGCAGTTCCCCAAAAGTACACAGTGTGTTCCACATCAACAGGCATAAAGACACCTCACTGAAATTATCCATGCCAGGTCTTCTTTCCACTGTACATTTCTAAGATAAAGCCTGGGCTGCCTTCTGTGTTTTGTACAACTAGACACACTAAGTGCGTGTGGAAGATTCCACACAGTGACTAAACCCCAGTCAGCTACAAAGTGATCTACTCCAATAAGCTGTCAGGGAAAGCCATTTAAAAGAGGTATTTAGAAATGTAAATACAAGTTACGTGCAAACATTAGACAAAAAGAAAGTGAAGATGATTCACCGCAGTTAAAAACAAAAACCCAGAATGTGGAGACAGGAAAACTGCAGACAAACTGATAGGTTAACTTTTATTTTTTTTATTTTATTTTTTTTTTCTTTTTCAGTTAAAAAGTTTTATTATGGGACATTTCAAACATATGATAGGTTAACTTTTAAGTCAATATACAATTTTCTAACTACACACATATGTTACATCCACACACTATTATTTCTCTTTTGGGTGTAAGACTCCTCAAATTCTATACACTAACTGTAACAAAACCGGGAGCAAGAATGGAAATCTCTGTTTAAGAAGATTTTTAAATATACTGATTTCCCTTGAATATAATTCATTTAAGAATAAGGACTCTAGTCTAAATATTTTTTTGGTTTTCTTGGGACATCTGGGTGGCTCAGTCACTTGGGCGTCTTCTTTTGGCTCTGGGTCATGATCCCAGGGTCCCGGGATCCGGTCCTGTGTGTGTGTGGCGGTGGGGGGGGGGGGTCCTTGCTCAGTGGGGAGGCTGCTTCTCCCTCTGATGCTCCCCCTGCTTGTACTTGCTCTCTCTCTCTGACAAGTAAATACATAAAATCTTTAAGAAAAACAAAACAAAACATTCTTTTGGTTTTCTCAGCACTTGTACTCTAGTAGGCAAGCAACTCGCTCTACAAAGAAATAGTAAAAAAAAAAACGGAAATACCGATTGTCTAGTGGATTAATCAAAATCACAAATGTGGCTTCTTTTCCTGGAAATGTTACATCCAAGAGAACGCCTCACTCCTGATCAGTTGTGCAGTCCTCACAAAGGGCGCAGCAGCACAGAACAGGAAATTGTTCATTTTTTAAAAACTTTTTTAAAACGTCCACGTCAGTGGCTTTTATCTCTGTGACTATAATGCGGATCGCACTGGCCATCTCGTACATCACATCTGGTCTGTCAACTGTTTTTCAATAGTTCTGAGAAGTCTCGCAGAGAAGACAGCGGTCTCCCCACCAGCAAGCAGCTACGCCAGCTTTTACAGAACTGTCCGAGGAAACCCGGGATTCAGGGCACTGGCACGGGAATTCCCGCCATACGTTCCCGGCGCCCTCCCTCGCACTGAAGCCGCGCCGCTCCGCCGCACAGCCACCAGGCGCATGAGGCTGTGTAAACACAATCCCAAGTTAAGGGCCCGTCACTTCTAGCCGAGTGGCTGGCGGGCGGCCACCGCACAGACCCCGCGGGGACAGAACGTGCGGAAAGTCCTCCTGGCCCGGGCGGAGGAGCTCCGCGGACGCCGGTGGGGCGAACGCTCACTCTCAGTCCGCGGTTCTGCTGCCGAGCCGCCCAACGCACCTGAAGCGGCCGGCCGTTCGGGAACGCGAGCGGAGGCTCCGCGTCCAGGAACACGCCGGAAGGGCACGTTTACCGGACTGAAAGTGGACACACGGGGGAGAATGGCGACGACTTCATATTCCTCTCCCCTCAGCTTCCGGGACCCCTCGCGCCGACAGAAGCAAACTCCCGCACTGGGTTCGGTCCTCCCGTCTGCTCCGCCTCCCGAGCACCCCAGTTGCCTGAGGCCGACGGACCGAGCTCTCCCACCACAGCTTCGCCACCCCGATTCGCCACCCGTGCCCGCTCGGAAGCGTCAAGAGCACCCTCGCCCCTGCGCCCCCGGCCTGTTTCCCTCCCAGCGCCGAAGGAGACCCTCGGTTCCAGCTCCGCCGGAGTCTCCCCGCGAGCACCTCCAGCCGGAGACGCCGGGGTCGGGGCGCGAGCAACCGGCCTCGCTCAGGACCCGTAGCACCCCGCAGGGCCCGGTGTGGTCGCGAGTCGCTCGAGCGCTCAAGCTCACCTTGTAAAGCGCCTGGACCATCTCCGCCAGAACCCACTGCTCCGCGGCGGTCGCCATGGTCAACTACTGGCGCTGCCTTCAGGAAGGCGGGTCGCAGCTACGTCACTCGGCGCGCCTCGGAGCCCAGTGACATAAGGCCTGGGGCGGGGCTGGCGAGCGGGGGGCTCCGCCTCCAGGCACCTGCGCGCTGGAAGAAAGCGGGCGGCCTGGTTCGCAGAGGCGGTGGGTGTAGGCCTTGGAGTCTTCCTGGCAGCCAGGAGAGGCGGGAGCAGATGTTCTGTGGCCCTGCGGTGCAGGACCGGTTCCGGGCTCCCGGGAGGAAGGCTAACAGTAAATGCCTGCCCTGCACTCGCAGGCCTGCCCTTCCCTTCTCCACGACAGAAGGAACCCACGAAGGCACTTTCCTAAATAAAAATTATAGAAATGCCCAGAAACAGCGGTTCACCCGTAGCACTTGCAGGTTTCTGCTCGGACCAACGCTAGCGGGGCGAGGTTCTCCAGCAGTGCGGTGTGTGGCTTCCGCCACCTCCGCGGGCTCCTGCCTTCGCGGTGCGGCTTCCGGAACTTACGCGGACTACTGCGGACGCGGTGCGCGGGCGCTCGCAGCAGATGCTTCAAGCCAGCAGGCCGTGGTCTGCGGCCGGACGTGTCCCTGATCACCCCGCAGGCCTTCCTGCGCTGGCCCTTCAGCCGCGCGTGTCTGATCCCGGGCAGGGCCTGCTAGGAGCGCCGCGTCCCACAAGCGTCCTGTTCCAGTGCACGGACTCCCCCACGCACGCACTGGGCTGTCCCCTGCGGACCCTTGGTCCGCAGCCGCGTGTGGGACTCCTGCCTTCACACTGACCTCGGCCGCCACACACACTGCTCCTGGGCCAGTAGGGCTGGCGGCCCCAGGGCGGTGCGGCCCTTCATGCCGCGGGAAGCGCAGCCAGGCTCTGGCTCACCTGCAGGTATACTCCATCTTTCTGGAACGTTCCCCAGCTTGGTGGCCTTTAAAGGACGCCTTGCTGACTTCTCCTCTTGATGCTTCTGGTTGTCCCTGACATTTAGCGGCTTCTCTCGGCATGTGCAGCACTTCCAGGAATCACCAGTTTACATTCTTTGCCCATTTTTCTTTTGGTGATTTTCATCTTCTTACGGATTTACAGAAGCTCTTTCTACGTGCTGAGTATCTCATATTTTTCCCGTTTCATAGGTAACATTTTTGCCCAGTTTCTTTCTGGCTGTTTATGTTGTCTCTGTCACACCTACCTTTTGGACTTCATGTCACGTGTCACACTGTCCCTGACTGCCTCTGGATTCAGATCCTGCTTGCAAAGGGCATCTCCGCGGGATCTGTGCTATCCTCCCGAGCTTGCGTCAGCCTATTGCTGTGCACACTTAGCTCTTTAACTACTCAGTTACATGTCCTTTCCTGGCTCTGCGGAGGTATTTGAGTGGACCCTTCAGTCCCCTGCTCGGATCTTCAGCAGAACGTTGTCCAGCCACATCCTGGACACTCTGACCAGGATGTCTGCACATCTGTCTGTCTCTCTCTGTCTGTCCAGGGCACTCCCTCAACAATGAAGCTACTCATTTTTCATCCCTTGCCATATGGATAAGCCAAGATTCTCCTGAGTCATCAGGCTGATTTTGTTTTTGCTTAACCATACCTGCTTCAACTTAACCTCTTTCTTCTCCCATTTCACTACAATCAGCAGGAAGGGACCTGCCATACCTTCCACACTTTGCTTAGAAATCTCAGCTGATTATTCAAGTTCATCACCGACAGGTTCTACTTTCCCCAGGACTGCAGGACACAATTCAGCCAAGTTCTTTGCCGGCACAGCGCAAACATCACCTTCCCTCCAGTCCCCAATAACACGTTCCTCATCTCCTTCTGAGCCCTCAGCACACGTCTGTCACATCCATATTGAATAACATGCTGTTTTGGACGAGCTGTGCATTCTGAGAGGACAACCTCCTTTCCCATGCTCTTCATTTCCTTCTGAGCCCTCACCAGGCTGCTTTTAAAGTCCCTAAAAATAGGGACTTTAAAGTCCCTAATAGTCTCTTCAGAAAGTCCAGGGACTTTAAAGTCCCTAATAGTCTCTTCAGAAAGTCCAGGTTTTATCTCTCGTGAAGCTCAAAATTCTCCCAACTTCCACCCAATCACCTAATTCAAAAGCCACTTCCACAGCGGGGGGCATTTGGTACGGCAGCACTCGGCTTCCCAGGACCAAAATCTGTAGGCATTTCCTAGGGTGGCCATAACAAATTACCGTACATTGGGTTGCTTAAAACAAGAGAATTTAGTCTCTTAGAGTTCTGCAAGTCAGAAGTTCAAAATCCAGAGGTCCGCAGGGCTGCATTCCCTCTGAAGACTCCAGGAGAGAGACTTCCCTTGCTCCCCCTTCTAGTTCTGATGGCTCCATGGGTCCCTTGGCTTGTGGCTTCATCGCTCCCGTCTCTGCCTCCACCTTCACAGGGTCTTCTCCTCTTTCTCTACATGTCTTTCCTCTGTGTTTCCTATAAGGACACTTGTCATCAGATTTAGGCCCCTGAAGATAGTCCAGGATGATCTAATCTTGGGATCCTGAATTACACGACAACCTCCCTCTCTTCCTGATTCGACCACTCAACTAATATTGCATAATATTATATAGTTATTGTATAATACTATATAGAATATTGTATAATATATCACATAGCCAATATTATATACCTATATATACAATATAGGTTGTACATACTACAACATGAGTGCCAAACACTCAGCCTCAGATTGCAGAAGCATCCATTTCAAAAGTCATCCATCCCGAATAATCATACCTCCAGCTGCATCACACAGCAACTAGCCACACAAGCAGGAATTAGGCTGTCCCCATGGGTTAGGCTTAGGGCTTCTCAGAAAGCCCTGGAGACACCTGACCACTTGGGTGACCCCGCTTCTCCCTCTCCACTCCCAAATTACCTAATATTTGCAAACTGTGTATCTGATGCGAGCTTAATATCCAGAATACATGAAGAACTGCAACTCAGTAACAAAACCAAAACAACGCAAGTAAATAATGGGCAAAGGACTGGAACAGACATTTTTCCAAAGCAAATATGCAAATAGTCACTAAGCACATGAAAGGGTGATTAATGTTCCTGAATCGTACACTTAAAAGTGGTTAAAGAAGTAAGTTTTGTCAGGTAAGTGTTTTACCACAGTAAAAAGCAAAAACAAAAACCCTACTATTTCTTTATATGAATATATTTATCTTTTATGTAAATTAACTTTTTTTTTCAAAATTTCCAACTTTTGTCCTTTTGTGCTTCATCGTGGTAAAATTTCTATTGTCAGCATTTCAGCCCACTAATTCTATCTTGTATCCATGCAGCCTGTCGGATCAGTGGTTTCAACTTGAGTTTCAGTGATCCTTTCTAGGAATGTTAATTAGAATTCACGTCACGCATTCATCAACAGGTATTTCCTGAGCACTACCTTCAGCACTGGAGTCACAGGACCCCGGACAGGTGACATCCCAACCTCCTGGAGGTTACAGGGTCATGGGAAGACAGACCCTAAATGTATACAACTAAAGATGTGGCTTAAGGTCATGAAATGCTATGTGGGAAAGGACAGTATGGATGGAGATAAGGAATTACGGAGAGTGGACAGGACAGGCCTCTCCAAAGACATACCATTTGGACAGAACGCTAAAGCGAGGGAAGGAGACCCATGAGTGTTTTGTGAGGGAGTGATGCAGGCAGAGAGAAATAATGGGGAAACGCTCAGAAGGTTCACCAAGCCCCAGAGTGTGGCTGGCGTGGGATGAGCATGGCTCCTGCTCAGGCCCCGGCAGCAGGGGTGGGTGAGTTGGGGGTTCTCGTGCCTGACACAGTTTGAAGGTGGAGCTGATAGGATTTGCTGCTGTGAGGTGGGAGAGAAAGGGGATCACGGATGCCCCAAGATCTCCCGCCTGAACTACACTGTGTGACTGGTGTCCCTGCTTCTAAGGAGGGGAAGATGGGAGGAGAGCTGCTTTGGGAGTGGGCACTGGACCCCCATGTGGATACGTGCCAGGGGGAGGTGGGTGTTCGGGTCTGCGGCCAGAGGAGAGGTCGGGAATCGAACGGTACGGGCTGATGGTCTAGTGGCTGGAAGAGATTCTGAAGCTCCAGGGAATGAGTGCAGACACGGGAGAGAAGAGGCAAGGGCCTCTGCCTTGGGGTGCTCCTGATCTACTGAGGCAGGCTTTCTCAAGACGCTTCTGGGTGATATGCAGCTCCCAAATGAGAGCAGACAAGCAAGAAGTCAGTGTGGGACAGCTCATTCAGAAAAGGAGGGGAGGAGATCGCCCCCAGCAGCCGGGGGCAGGCCTCCCCACCACGTGACCATGTCAAGCTGGATGAAGGGGAATGGACTTGGGTGGGCCTGTCACCCAGCAAATTGAAGGGGAAAAGGCAATTATGCTTGCCCAGAAGAAAAACGTTACAGAAATCAATCACTGTTTGGTTTAGCAATGAACCACATTTAAAGTCATGTAGTCATGAAAACATGCAGAATGACCTTTTAAAAAATGGGTCCAAACGACACTGAGAAGATGGGAACTGGTGCAGTGTGTGCACGGAGTGAGGCGAGACCCCGGGATCCTTGCCTTCGGCGGTGGGGGGTGGCGGGTGATAGTGAACTGAAAGCGTCACAGATGGCGGGTAGCATGCTGATGAAACCTGGGAGGTCTGCGCAAGAAGTAACTAGAAGAAACGGTTGGCTTTTGGATTGGGAATCTGGGGTGGGGAAGTGGGGGCCAGGACTGATTTTTTTTTTTGTTATAAACTTTGTGCTTTTAGTTGAGTTCTTAAGCTATAATGTCTGTACTACTTGGGGAAAATCAAAATTAAACCAAAGTGTATTTTTCATTGTCCTTTATAATTCCTCACCTAACCTGGTTCGTGCTGTGTGTCAGTCACTGTTACTATTGATTTATGTGGAGGAGCCAGTGAATTACCATGGAGAGATTTCAATTTAGATCTACAATCAAAAAGATTTGTTGGCATAATAAAATTAACTAAAATGCCTTAATCCTCCC